GAGCGGGGCTCGTTCGGAAAGTCAGGGGTTAAGAAGGCAGGCTTCACGGCAGGTAGTGAGGTCGTGGAGGAAGCCATCATCTCTAAAACACACATTCAGTCAGCAAAAAAAACCCAAGTACCTAACCACACACAATCCATCTGATCATCATCCCACTGAAGAGAAAAAAAAAAATAAAAAATAAAAAATAATAATAATAATTTATGTTCCAACAAAAAATAGAGTTTTCACAAATAACATAAGCAAACATGAAACCATACATAGTAGACCTCAAGCCCTCTCGTCTCTAACTCATACCCAATTGGACATCCTTCGGCATAATCGTCATCCTCTAGGTGTGAGCATCGCATAGGTTAGTGTCCTCGAATAGATGGGAGTAATCATCACCCTTTGTCGCCTCTTTGCAAGCTTCTACTTTAGGGCTTAAAACTGTATAAAATCCATATTCCTTGTTCAGATGGCAGCTTTCAACATTCAAGAGCCACTTATCTGGACAGAAAAAATTGAATGGCTGCGGCTCCATTCTGGTCGATAATCAAGTGTAAATTTTGTATTGGTAAAAAATTAGTCACTTTAGTATGCACAACAAAATTATATAGAACCTAATTAAATTCAAATAAGTACTTCGACTAAAATATATTCTAAAAAACAGAAACGCTGGAGTAATGATGTAAGGCTGCAAATCGATTGAGCCTATCAATTTATCATGAATTTTGCATGTAATCAAATCTATTTTAGGATTTAAGACCACAACCTTAACCAAATAAAAAAGTTCTTATTTATATTTTGTAAATCACAAATATTTTCTGCGACCATTTCAATCTCCTCAACACGAATCATTTAAACCTCCAATCAGCTTGATATGAATGTAAGTGCTTTGAAAATAAAACAATTACTTCAACTATGAATAATTAATATGTTATTATAATTGAGTCACCCATTTAACCTGCAACAACAATGTATCAAGCGGCATGGTCCCATATCTTTTCTCAGTAACCTTTGCGAGGAAACCTCATATATATATGATCCCTAAGTAGAAATCAATTAAAACGAACTTACAAAAAAAAATTATGACTTTTATTGCCCATTGGCATCTCAAGCTGGTTGGATGTTATTTTTTTAACTGCGGTTTTTGTTGAAATACTGATTATACCACCAAGGGAGAAATTTTGATGCTCATTTTGATTTCTTGTTGCTTAGCACTAAGGGAGCAATATCTCGCAAACTGTTGCACCGTTGCTCAAAATTCATGAAGAAGAATCCGATTAGGAAGGAGAGAACAAATCGCTTCGCAGTATTGTTCTTTTCAGTTGGTAATAATCATGTAGTGTGCAATTATGCTTTCTTCTTTATAAACATATATGTCGGCTATATGCACGTTGGTGGTGATCCATAATATAATTACGTTGTTTTATTCTGTTTCTGTTTTGTAATATTTTTTTTTTTCCTTTTACTGAGATATATAGAGACTTGCAGATGAAGTTGAAACACGCATTTTTCATGGCTACTTTATGAAACAACTGCATAACACTGAACCCAATTGAACCACAGGCGAGATCCTGGCTTTCCATGTTTATTAGATTAACGCTGAAATCCAGAGAAAATTTACAACGCTCACATGGCGTCTCCTCGTATATAAGACCAACGTTTATCTGCCCCCGGACCTTGGTAAACTTCGCCGGTTCCACATATTTTCTTTAATTTGCGATTGATTCTCAAAGGTTGAACTGATTTCTCATGTATCAATTAACCGATTGAATTTGACTTGTTCAAATAAATGATTTAACGAAATTGCTTAACTGAATTTATTATACTTATAGAGGATTAACTTTATGGGAAATTGTCAATTTGTTTATTGGATTCGTGTCATTTTGGCATTCTTCTTGTTGATGAGATTGAAAAATAATTTTTGAAGGGGATCGTTTTGATTTGGCAGTTCATTGTTTTTTTTCCTTGTTATGCAATCATTATGTTGTTACTTTTAGTAGCAAGTGGTTTGTGGATGTATGGGCTACGTGTTCATATAGCAGCACAAATTAGTTTAGTATTTTAGATTTCACGACAATTTTGCATAGGTTGTGAACCCTAAGTCGCCACATGACTTCTAATAAGTGATATAGTAGCGAAATGTTCATCTCATTAAGTGAAACTTTTGTTGTTTAATAAGCGAATTTGATTGGTCTTTTGAGTGCCTCCTTGGCTTTGAAAGTTTAAACTCATGGTTGTCTAAGGTTTTAATTGTTTTAGTATAAATGTTGGAACCCGGATATGTATGTATGTATGTATATATATATATATATACATATATATATATATATAAACGAGTTTTCTAGCACGCTATTGGACGGTGTGGAGGTGTGTTGTCTTGCTTGATGGAATAGAAGCGTGCTCAATTGGACAAGCAATTGCAGTGATTATCGGCGCTTGGAGACGCTAAAATAGTTCGACGATGATGTATCCATACCCAAGGTGAAATGACATAACTGAAGCTTTACAATTTCTAGTCGAACGGATCTTTTGCATAATTTTTCTTTCCTTAACCATAGTTACCGAAGTTTAGATCTTTTGCATTGGGCTCTTTTGTTTCTAAAATTTTTTTCTTTGAAATGGAACTTATATGATGTTAGGAGATTATTAATCATTTTAGTGAGTTACTATTTTCTTTTGGATACATTTTGTATTTTATTTTTAAAGTGACTTGCACATATTATGCTTTCATTAAGCGATTTTGTAGTCCCCGTCTGCTAAAGAAATGCGAGGAATCATGTGTATGTTAATGACCAATTTGCTCTATAAAATGTCTATAAAATAAAATACAATTGATCATTAGATGGATTATCATGCTATGTAGTTTAAAATACTTGCGGATGAAACTCACGTGTGAAGGAATTTGACGAATAATACATTGTTATCTCACGGATTTAAACAGCCTCGCAACTCATAAACCACTGGCGAAATTCAAAAAAGTAAAATCTTAAAACATTTATATAAAAACAAAAAAGACACAATATATGAGAACTATGCTAGAATAGTAGTTGCAACAACTTATGACAAATTTTTACTGTCGTTTTATACCGGGTGTTAGTCTAGTATATATACACGAGGGAGTTAGACCTCTTCAAATGGCGACACGATCCATTTTTAGGCCTTCTTATCATGACACACTAGTACAACGCCCGTGTATTACACGGCTGCTTGCTAAATTTTTTTCTTAAATTCTAGAATTAATGAAAAAAAAAGTAGTTGAAAATTTAAATACTTTTTATAAAAAGATATATATTATTCTATATTTAGTATGACACTTTTTATTTGTGCGACATACATGTGTTATATTACAACAATTGTTTTTAACTTACAACATATAACTACATTAAACATAAATATATCAATTGAGAAATAATTTCTAATGAATTTTAATAAATATTATTATTTTTTATTATTATAAAGATAAATATAATTTATTTATTTCATATATACAATATGGATGTCAAATCGAAGATCATCAAAAGATGATTAATTTGATATATTATATACTAGAAACCTACCGGCTGTGCTAAGCACAGCCGGCCCATACGCCTTTATCGTTTTTATTGCAAAGAGTTAATTGTTTTGTGTAATTGTTTGATATTTGAATTTGTGAATAAGTTTTTTTTGTTGTGTTTAATGATATTTTGTGTGTATAAGCATCACCTTTGTAATGTCTATAAGTAAATAATATTGAAGTTTAATGGCGGGGGAAGGGAATAATTTGGATATGTTTGTTTGACCATTAATCGACGGATGGTGCCTTTTTTATGTAAGTTTAGGATGTATAACATAAAAAAGTAAGGGGATGTAGAATGTAAACATATTTGATAGCCTGCATGGTGGAGCAAATTTCCACATTTATGGGGCAATTAAAATTGGCAAGTAAGTATGGATTATAAGGTAGAAACTATCTATTATCCATAATAAGCCACATTGATTATATTAAGTGGGAACAGTATTAAAGGCTACACGAGTTTGTCGCACAATGTTGAAGGGATCCTTAATTACAATATGTAATATGCTAGTAACTGAACATTAATATTTACTGAGTCAGAATTGCCATTCAAACTTAGCTAATATTAATAGCAAAATCTTAAGGGTAATGCTGACCTAAAGTGTACACACAAAAGGTAGGATTTTGACAAAACGGATCATGCACGAGAACTTGAGCTGTTGTAGGCTTCCCAAAATGTGGCTCCTATACAAAAGTAAGGCCGTTCTGAAGGTACAGCCTTATGCATTTTTTTTCTGTCGCTTTGTTGAAGCTTCACCTGCTGATTCTTCTTTTGGATTATCACCCTTACTTGTTTCACTGAAATGAACATCAAAGTTTATCGATCTTTTCACCCCTTGTCTGCTCTGTTTATCGGATGCAATTGGCGACGGTGTGTCAAGCATTGAGGCTAGAACTGCCTGTGCAGTGGGTGTAAATTGGTCTTCAACGGCAACCTGTTATGTATTAATATATATGTAGTATTAGTGGTTTCATTATTTATTTGAATAAATATATATAGTTTGATGCGGAGAATAAAAATTAGAACATAAGGGAAGAAGAAAGGAAATAAATTAAGCGAAGCCGAAAAGAAACTAAATTATTCAACGTTGAATAACATCTATCGAGCCTGTGTGGATGAGGGGATGTGTTACTTTCGTCTATTGGCATCATGTCTTCAACGTTTTCTTCATTGACATAGACAACGACTACAGCAAAAGATGACTCATTTTTGTCTTGATAGTCGGAAATGTAGTGTCTCATGAAACATGTAATTTGTTTTTTTTCAAAATTTGCTTCTACCTCCATGCAAACCTCCATCTGCAGGTAAACATTAATAAACATACATGATTTGGCAAAAAGAGTTGTAATTATTTGATAGAAATGTTGTTTTGTAAGTTCTTTGTTCCAAATGAATTGCAATATTCAAGCTTTCCAAAAGTTGAGGGAAAAACAAAAATTATTTATACAATCTTTGCACCTGATTTTTGTTTAAGCTCATTTGGGCTGCTGTCATCGGAAGCAATTGTTCCGCCTTTGGACCACTAATAACAGCTTGAATCAGCCCACTGTTATCTTCAATAGCAAGTGTAAATCTACACCTATAATCAGCATTTTGTTTACATCATAAGTGATATTCATAAATGAAATGTAGGCAGCATTTGTGTGTTATATTATTTAAATACCTAGGTTCGACGGGCCCTTCTGATTTGCAATTAGGGCATGTGACTATCCAGCCGACTTGGGCACGCAAACCTTTTTTGCATTTATAGCAAGCTGTGAACCAATAAGACGTCTGCCCGTACGCAAGACTGGCTTTTCCTCGAACCCATGCCGTTTTCAACTAAAAAAATATTGGATATGTTTGATATGTTTTGAATGCATGAAATGGTATTTCTTATAGACACAATTACTTATGGCTAAGAACTTATTACTTACAGTTTGCAAATTTTGTAAAGCCGAGTGCACTGAAATAATTTCTGTTTCATTTGGTGGTGGTAACAAAAACTCAGGGTTTTCATAGACTTTTAATTCCAGCTGACGATTCACTTCTTCTTTGTGTTCAATGTACCTGTATATTGAAGTGTAAATTGTATTAATAGAAAGTGAAGGAATAAAATTTATATGTAACAGAATAGCTGTGATTTATTACCATTGCTTAAGAACAACAGTCTCTGCCATCGGAGGATTAATCATTATTGTTCCTAAGTGAGTTGTTGTCACTGACAGGACTGCATATTGGATATATTTTAAATAATGTGCATGTGTACAGACTGATATGATAAGATTTGAAATAATATTGATACAATTAGCAAAGACTTACGATTAAAAGTTGTTACTCTGACCCTTGTTGCAACAATTATGGTACCAGCGGCCAATGTGCTTGCTAATTGTTGTCCTTCTTCTCTCGCAAATTCATTCCATAATGTGAAAATAATAGGTCTGTTTCTGTTGAAAGAAATTGGATATGCAAAGATTAAATTTAGTTGTACATTCTATGCTGGAGTAAATTAACTGCAGAAGATGTATTCATCTCACTCTGCATT